CATATTTAATTGTAATTATAACTATTTGTCACTTATGAAATTGTAGTGTAATAGATTTGTTTTAATGAATCTGTTGAGTTAAATCTGATAAAGAACCTAGAACAAAGTGAGATCAGCCAATTTTAGACAGGTGTCGTAAGTGAATTTTCGAGGTGCGTTGTCCTTCTGTAGGTACCTAAGTTATGTTTTGGACGTCTTTCTCTAACCGTGTTGACCAAATGTTGATGAAGGTACGTGACAGTTGTGACTATCTATTCTGTTTTCATCAACTCATAATGGATGATCGTACCTTCACGCCCCACAATACTATGAGACGATGATTACCTTACTTTGAAGGCTAGTATCTCCTGCAATGAAGCAGTTTATCCAGTTGATGACCGCTGTGCCGTGACTGAGTAATGGCGTAGAGGTTGCTGAGAATTTCAACCCATACACTCGCGCTTTTATCCTGACGCACCTTCTAGATGATACAAATCTGGTGTTGTCCAATTTGATGGGAAATTGCCAAAACCCACGGCCATGCCTTTGTTTACCCATGCTTTGACTGCCTGATGAATGTCGTAGAGGTTCATCGCCCTTGTTGTCGTGTTCACATTGTTTAAACGTACCAAATTTTTTGTCGCACAACTGTCTTGCCAAGGAAATAGAAATCCGAACCAGAAACAGGTAGCAGAGCGAAAACAATTGAGAGTCGAAAAAAACTATACAAGCACATGATTTATTCTCTCTCCGACAACAAAACGAAACAATAGCAGCCACATCTTTTAAGACATTCGGACAAAAAATAGACTATATTATCACTTAATCCAATAGGAACTAAGCTTCGCAAGTACTCTTTCCATTTCAAGCTTCCATTCGAAGTGCAGCTTCCCATTTCGAAGATCTAATGTGGTGCTCCTTTTTGTCTCATAGTCGCACAAAACAGCTGCTATGAAGAGTCCTGAAAAATACCTCTCGCTTAATTAACATAAATATTTACCAGCGAGTTCGCTCACCAAAGCGCTCATATTTATCCTTTGTTCTGCCCGCAGTTTCCCTCGGTGAAGCCGCACTCTCGTTAACGTTTTCTTTGGCGCTCCTCATCGAGCCCATTGTTTCTGTAAAGACATCTTCGATCAAAAGCAATCCCACCTTGTCCAAAATTCAAGACGAGCACCATAGAAATCCCTACATTTTATACTCGCCCCTTCTTCCGGAACAAACGAAGAACCCAAAATGAATACCACAAAAGAGAGAATAAAGAAAGAGCGAAAAATAAGGAATAATGAAAGCACTCAAAATGCATGCACAACACATCAGTACTGGACAGAATATAATGGAATAAAAAATAAACACTCACCTGTGACGCAGCTTGCGGTAATCCCACAAAAAACTCCTAAATAAGAAAGGGTAAGATAGAAATGCATGCATAACATGTTTGTACTAGAAATAGTGCAAATGAGTAAAAAATAGGCACTAACCTATGACGCAGCTTCAATCGTATGCCTTACGGGCTTCAATCCCACAACGAATTCTTAACCCATTGACGACCGCCTGGCCCGCCGGCGGGCCACACCATATCGTGCTCCTGTAGTATTTAATTTATTTATTAGGTGTTCTTATAATTTTTTTCATGTTTTTAAGTACCAGCTGAGCGAACAGCCTTCTAGAGAATCTTGAGGCATTGTGGTCCAGGAATCATTCATTTCTAATTACAGTTATACGAGAAATTAAAAGTTAATGTAAGGACAGTATGAAATGCCCGGTCGCCAATGGGTTAAATAAGAAAGAGTACGAATGATAAAATACATGCACAACGCATTAGTACTAACTAAAATATAAAGCAGGAAAAATCAGACAACTAACCTGTGACCCTACTTTAAACGCATGCCTTGCGGGTGACAATCCCACAGAAAACTCTGAAATAAGTCGCGCCCCAATGCGGAACCGTGGCTACCGTAACCGCCCACTACTTCCTGCCCGAAGGTCTCTTTTCGATGTGCCGCATTCGTGAGGGCTCGAGATTTCTGTGTTCAAATATAAAAACGAAAATTCAGTACGGCATTCGCTCTTACAGTAATCCGGCACGGCATAACCCATTTTAATACGCAAATTCTCACCCGTCCCATTTACGGTGCTTCGAAAAGGGGCCTCGGGCAAGGACACGGGCGTGGTTGGTGGGGAGCCAGGGCTTTACCTTGAGAACCGAGTACCTTCCTGTATTTTCGTTTCTGTTGTTCAAACAGGATTATGCCATAAATGAAAATATGTTAGCCGTGAAATTTTGCGTCACTACGTTTTATTCCACCTCAAGGTCACTGTATTGTATACTCGTGCTGAATATCGTTTCTGTCAGGTCGAAGGCCTTAATGGGAAAACTTTCTCGCGCTTTGTTTTTCCCAGTGGTTATTTCGTGGATTTTCCTCGAAGTCAAATGTCATGATATCATAAGCAGGCCATATAACTCCGTGGCTCTCCATCTTTTTTACAAATTGCTTCCATTAAGATCACCTACCTTGGAAAATGGATGGACCTGCTGACCAGCTTAACGTTCAGGAAAATGCCATTGGAAAGAATCAAATGCTTTCTCTTGCTCGGTGTGTGAAGCATCCTGCAAATTCTTCTGCTTTGCATAAATTTCAGCATCAAAGCGAAACTGCGACACCAGAGATTCGATGAGTTGTCCGGATTTTACCGAGATACTCATCTGTTATAAGGTAAAGCGAGAGCATAAGTAAATTTAGTCCCGTGAATGTGTTGTACAGTAACCCAAAGACATATTCAAGCACCGCCTACCACCCGTCACATATACGACGCAACAAAGAGTGAACTGCGCGTCATCAGGGATTACTGTACCACACGTTAACGGGACTTTAAAATATGACGGTGCTAAGTGGGTCGGTGGGGGCCACGCGGCGGCGCGGCGCCTTACATGCCTGCGCCCTCTCCAGTGAGATAGTAGTACTGGGCCTGAGTCTGGCAAGGGATGGTGAGGTTGTACTGCTGTGCTTCGTGATTTGGAACAAACAAACTCTTGGCACATGTTATATGCTTGCACATTATGGATATTCTTCTTCTGAGCCGATAAAACCCTATTTTTAAGAAGGGGAGGGGCTCCGGGGTGGGTGAGATGGTTATCTCGTGCAAAAAGCCGAGATGAGATAAAAGCTGAACGTCCAATTGGCTCACCCACCCCGGAGCCCCTCCCCTTCCTAAAATTAGGTGAAAAATACGCGTTATAACATAGAAGAGCTATGAAACGTCCTTAAACACCATTACGGGCTCGCCTACCCTACTTGTCTACTACCTCGCCGGCCAGGGCACAGACATGAAAAGGCACCGCGCCGCCGCGTGCCCTCCACCCCCCACCCACTTAGCACCAATCTGACTTGTGCTTGGGCAAGCATAAGGTATGCCACGCCTTGCAAATTCGAACATGTACACACGACTTCTCATGTTCACTAGCAACCCCATGGTGTAAAATTACGGAGGTCACCAAAGATATCCAAGTTATCAAAGATATCATTTAGTACTTATGAGCAAAGCCAAGTCTTCAACCCTCCTCATTCCGCTCAAATCCTTCCTTGTTGAGTGGAATGTTTGCATGTCAAGGGTGAACAAGTAGACTGAAAGCAAGAAAGTAGTTTCAAAGTACGCACAAGCAACTCCCAACGAGCGATAGAACTTGATGGCAGCAGTTGGGCCAGCCCTCCCATGTGTTTAAAGGACGAGCTCGCTGCGGGACCCGCTGCAGGTCTTTGTCGTGCTTCTGACTCGTGACGTTACATCAATACTCTCAAGTCAATTCCAACTGCTAGGCTTGTGAATATTTGCTTTGTACGGGTTCTGCGCTCAACTCGGAAAACGATTCTGAGGACTGTTTCGTCTTAATTTACTAAATATGGCTGAGGAATACGATGATGATTTTCAATACAATACCGATTCTGGAAGCGAACTTGATGACGAGGTGAGGATGAGCGGGTTTTTGTCGAAGACCATGAACATTATTGTTGAACTGATGTTCATTTTCATTTTCAAGTGGAATTCGTGCTATCTCAGCTGCTGGCGTATTTTTTTGGGCAGTTTGTCTGTAGTACCTTTGATTTCTCAAACAAATCAGCCAAATTGAAAGTATGCTATGTATTTAATCCATTCAAACATTCTACTTTTGATTGCTTGGAACCTTTTTATTGGTACGAACCCATACGCTTCCAAAAGTAGCTAAACAACACAGATTTCTGACCAAGTAAACAGAATTAGTTGGAAGCAATGGGGGTCTATGATTAGCGGTAGTCTTTTTCTGTTAATGCATGCATGTAGTAACAATTCAAGGTGGTTTTGTTTTGGAAAACTACAGTTGATATCTCGGATAAGTACTGTCTCGAAAACAACTAAGGAACCTCTCAAATCTGGGGTAGGAGCCATTTCTTCACTATTGATTCCAACTGTAGCGGCCCATTCGATGAGCGGTTTGCGCACCCGAAACAGTTGCTCTCCACGTTTAATAACCGATCGTGAAAAACTGGAAACCGAAGACTTCTGTTCGACACTTGACAGCTCCATCCACAATGTAGGAACTTTTCCATTTTCCTTTTTTGTACGGTATTCATTTCGAAAACCAGGTAGGTCAGTCATATCACAATTCACTTCGTACTAATACTAGTCCTTGTTTGGCCATATTACATAAAGATATTGCAGGCAGTCAGTGAGGATGATGGCATTGCTATGGAACAAGAAGATACGAGTAGAGAAGTTCTCAAAGAAACACCGAACCTTGAAGCAAAGGTATGTTTTCGTTATCTGATCCTATCGACCTAACGAGCATTCATTATAGTCTAGAGGCTTTAATTCTCCATTTTAAGGTTATGACTGTGGAGGATTTAGCCAGAGAAATGAATGAAATCATTGACGAAGTGTCCGCTATTTTACGGATTGGACGTGGGCACTGCCGTATCCTCTTGCATAAATTCAATTGGAATAAGGAAAGCCTGTTAGAAAGGTATGCTCCTTTCCTTTCGACTTCAAGCCCTTGTGATATGATGCGTCCTGAATTGATTGAATCCGCAAAGTAAGGGTATTCCTCCAAAAGTTTAGAATAAAGACGCTTTTTTCCAATTCCATCCAATAAGATCGATTAACACACATTGCTCAGTTGTACTACAGCTATTGTTTACCATGCGAACGGTACGCTTCTACCTCATTAGCAATATCACCCTCGTTGCACTGCTGTTCAGTTTGCGTTTGATGATGTGCGGCTAGCTTCTCATGATCAGCAATTGATAATAAGCTATGCTGTCAGCCAACAAATAAAAAAGCGAAACTGGGCTTGCGAATCGGAACGTCTTGAACTGTCTCATCCCAATATGACGCATGGTATCGATCACCACACTCATCGAATAATTACACTTATGTGGGCGCATCATAGAACCTGCGTGCTTATCAAGCTTAGTGGGTTTTCAAGCAGATATATCTATGAAATCTGCGCGTTTTGTGCGCATGTCTGTATGTGTCCTGTCGCGAACAAGTAGCGCCACGCTGCACCACCTACCCCCGACGGAGCGCACTCAGATATGTGCGTACACAACAAACAAACAACGCACAATTGACGCGCATATTTATCTATTTACTTTTCCGTGACGCAATACAAGGGGTTAACTCTAATAGAAAGCATGCAATCCAAAAAAACATTAGCACCTTCTATTCCGCTTGTTTGGTTTCTCCCTATCTGCTTTCATCTTTCATCTTCTTTCTTCCAGGATTTCTTTCAAATAAATAGTTGTAATAAGACATCCCGACGACAGTATGGTTCTAGAAGTCTGAAAAAAGCATTTGAGGTCCAGAGTATTTGCGGATGAGAGCTCGATATTACAGGTACTATGAAAATCCAGATACTGATGCTTTCTTACGCAAAGCTCAAGTACTGCCACGCAAACCTGCACCGCCTCCTTTATCATCTGTTGGAGAATGCGATATATGTTGCACAACAGCCCCTTTGGGAGGTTTAGATTGTCATCATTGGGCATGTTCAAACTGTTGGCAGAGGTATCTCGATACAAAGGTTAGTCGAACTTGATGAATTTTGCGAATTTCTTTCTTTTCGTTCTAGGTTCTAACAATGATGGAATAATAGCTTTTTATTGAACCACATTTTTAAAATATATTACATGGATCTGGAATAGTATGGTTTGTTCCTGACAGCGTGAACCGAGCGCTGTTGACATGCTTTGTTCAGCCCAAATCCCACTTTTCTGCTTGACAACTTTGATTTCAAATGAACTTTCTTGCAAATAAGCTGTTGCCGCTCTCAGCTTTTCTCGTTTTTTTCGGGCATGTCTCTTTCTTAAACTTCTTCTTTCATAAGTGACCGCAGCCCTTTGGTTTCGCAGCTAGAACCTGTCACCCTTACAGCTGTGACAGCTGCAGTTTGTCGTCATAGTAGTAGTTGATAGTTACTGTTTTTTAGAGAGCACAGGATAAGCGATGCGGTCAACCCATAGCACTTATCGCTGTGCATTATTGCTGCCACTGTAAAAAAAATCCTTGCAGCATCATGGAGAATTTCCGCTGCGATAGGAACACTAGCACCAAATATTTCTTCCCTCATTATCTTGTGTTCGACAAGGAAAGTAGTTCGTTTCACCCAGTTTCACATGGTGTAAACCGGCTGAGCATCCTAAAATTCTTTTCGAGTCAGGCAATTGGTGTAATCTCGGTGTATACTGCCTCTTAGGGGCCAGATCACGCACGTTTAGTAAGCGTATTGCCTCCTCGTCGCTGAAGGTCGCAAAGATGTAATCTCGGTATGTGTGATACACGTGCTCTTTTGCTTTATTATAGAACTGCTGATGAGATTGGAAAGCCTTTCCAATCATTTGTATTGCTGATCTACGCCCTTGACTGACTTCTTTGGGTTCCTAATTGTTTTGTTTTTATTTCATTTCGTCATCTTAATGTGCTGTTCATTTGATGCCGAAACCTTTACTGTCTTCATAAACAGCAAGATTTGATATGGCGCGATCCAAGTAGTTGCCATTCGACTGAAAATAAGAAAAACTCTTATCTTCTATCCTATTTCCATGTTGTTCTGAATTAGTTTGTTTTTAGTAATGGTTTGTGCCATTGCTAAGATTGTCTGACACTTCTCGATGAGAGTGATGACCATGCGGCGGAATTCTGCTGTTCCGAATCGAAGGAGCGTAACATGTTGCTTCCTAAGTGTCGGCTAACATTGTTAATCTTCTCGTCCAGGAAAAGGTCAAATTAACGGGACAGATGATAATTCGGCCGAGGGATCCGGTAGACGTAGTGCTTGGGACAAGTCTGTAGAACGAAGCGCAGTCAAAACCCGTTGGGTCCACGTGGCTATATCGGGCGCTCATCTTCGTTAGGCAATAGAAAGTCATCTGAGGGCGTATCCCGACTGTTATGGGTTGAGTAGTCGTGAACGGACCCCATCCTTGTTTGCGCTGGTATTTCCAAAGGCGTGGTCAAAAGTCTCCGAGCACTTTATCATACTGATGAAATCTCTCATGGGATGAGGGCTCTGTTCAATGGTTGGCTCGTCATCGACATGAATTGCCCCTTACTTTTGTGTAGAAGTTTAGGTCAAGCAGCCAATTTCATTAAGTTATGGCACAAGCGCTTTTTTGAAACACATTGCATCCTCAACAAATCCGAAAGAAACATTGGCAAATATGGGTGGAAATTGAGACTGGTATGGTCAGAGCTTCGAAAAATGCAGAATCATTGAGAAGGGAAATTACGGATGATTGTTCTACGCTGTGGTTCCATGTGGTTCTGAAACATCTTTTTTTTGTGTTCGCAAGACACTAAAAGAGAGCTATGTCCATACCAACTAAAATAACTTTTCTATTTTCATAGCCCCTGGAATTGAAGGTTGCTGTGATTGCACATGGTGTAAAACTCCCTCCTCGCTCATCATTACTATCTGTTTCGTTCTAGTTACAAACTAAAAATACCATCTGTCTGCATAGTGCTGAAGCTCAGCTTGCACGTGCGTTTAATGTAACCAAATGTAACCTGATAAAAACCATGAAGCAGTGAAGCTGTTCGAAAAAGTGAGATGGTTTCTCTTATCGCGGTACTGAATAAATTTGGGCGGTGGTGGTGTAGTGGTAAGTGGGGCACTATATCACACGCACGATCGTGGGTTTAAGGCGCTGATCGATATCCGTCTAGGCCAATCAAGCCTTCAATCTTTTCGGGGTCGGTTGATTGGTACCAGATTTGTTTGGGAGGATAAAAGCACTGACTTGTACATCTGCTGGCCACCGCAAGTCATTGTATAGGCCACATACGCATTCTTTGCGCCACTACGTTTCTGAACGGAATTCGAATGCGGGGGCGCATCCCTTAGGCGAGACTGTTTAATGCCAAAAAACTTTTCTCCTTTATTGACTAAATTTCTAAATAGCTAAAATAACTCGATAAAATGTTTTCTAGCTATAAGAGGAGGTCTCAAGATTTGATCTACTTCCTTTTCTAGATTATGAATGATGCAACGAGTGAGATACAGTGTATTTTTAATGGATGTCAGCTTTTGATCCAGGACGAGAAGGTATTTTAACGTTGTACCGACATCATATACGTTATCCGATCAGATCATTTTGATGTTCAGGTTATGGAATATATTCAAAGCGAAGTTGTACGAAATGCTTATCAACGCCTAAAAATCAATAGTTTTGTTGAAGGGAATCGTTTATTGAAATGGTGTCCCGGTCTCGATTGTGGAAAGGCGCTCAAGGTTGAGGTCCTAGTATTTCATGTCATTGGCTCATTTCCACCTTTTGCTGCAATGCTGTTGAGAACGGGGTCAAGTCTGCGGCGGGCTGTGCATATGGTGGTCTTTTTACAGATGAATTGAGAACTCTAAATTTAAAACAAATGATGTGATTAGGTAGCCGCAGGTTGGCCTCGTTAAGATTTAGCAATACCAAATTATTGAAGAGTCACTTTATTATTTTTACTGCTCTATTTCTTCAAAGGGTCCATGGATGATGTTGCCACCTTTTAGGTAGGGTACTCCGAGCCTCGTCCGGTTGTATGTTCTTGCTCAATGCGGTTTTGCTTCGGATGTGCACATGAATGGCACGAGCCAGTTAATTGCCGACTTTTGAAATTATGGCTCAAGAAGTGCAGCGATGACTCCGAAACTAGCAACTGGATCAATGCCAATACGAAAGAGTGCCCGAAATGCCAGGTGCTTTCAAAGAATGTGAGTGGTTGTCGAAGGGTTTTTGAATACGAAAGGATTTAGGTGACAATTGAAAAAGATGGAGGTTGCAATCACATGGTTTGCAAAAATACTGCTTGTCGAATGGAGTTTTGCTGGATTTGTCTGGGTCCTTGGGAGCCCCACGGTAGCAGCTGGTACAACTGCAATAGGTACTAGTTTGACTCTTTTTTTTGAATATTCTAGGTCATTTTT